CAAATCCACGGGCGGAATCGGCCCTGCCGGAGGCTACTTCCCCACAGCAAGCCTGATCACCCGAAGGCCTGTTTTTTCACCCTCACAGTAATCTGCAAGCTAGGTCCTAAACCCATTTCAGCCACAGGAAAACTGATTCGACAAGTCAGCCACACCACCTGCAAATGAGGCAGCCAGGACTGGACAGTGTTCACGTGGTTCCAGAGCCGCAGAGTGTTCAGCTGGACTGTCCAAGAGTTCTTACAGTACCTAACCCAGCTGGGGATGTGGCTCCGTGGTACACTGCTTGCCTAGCTTACGAGACCCGCGGTTCAAACCTCAGTACTGAAAAAAATAGTAGAAATAATAATACCTAACGCAGTAAGGTGCCCAGCTGGGTGTGCTGGTACATGCCGCTAGGCTCAGCACCCGGGCTGAGGCACGAAGATCTGCAGCCTGCACTACAGAGTGGACGCTGGCCGTGTCATCCTCACCTTTCACAAGCCTAGTTGTGGCCCAAGACTGCTTAACACAAGGCAGGTAGGGCACAGGAGCAACTAAGAAGAAAACGGAGAGAGAAAAGATGAAAATCGAGGCCTTCAAACACGCACACAACAGAAAGTTTAGAGGGAAAGATCCGCAGGATACTGGGGACCCTTCTCGGTCTCTAACCCTTCACCGTGAACTCGCCCCCTGAATCTCTCCAGACATCAACTCTAGAATCCGGGACCGGAGCGACGAAGCGCTGTTGAGAGGGAACCCAGATCCGTCCCATTGCAGGGCGATCAAACTATCCCCGGGGCCCTTAACAGCAGGGTAAACTGAGGCCTGGCTGGCTGCCTTCTCTCCGCCCCCACTCGCTGGTTCCCGCACGGCCGGAGCCGAGGCCGGGTTGGCAGCGGCCAGGCACGCGGCTCTGCTCCGCTCCCATGCCAGGCAGGCCGAGCACGGAACGGGCCAGCCGCTCCCGCTCCTGGCGCTGCTGCCCGGGCCCGGAGCCCGCCTCTCCCCGCTCTGATGTAAGCTGATATTTTAATTCTCTTACAAGGAATGGTGTTTAGAGAAATGACTTAACCGGATTACTCATCGTCGATAATGACTTGGCCCAGCTCCGAGGCTATTCCTAGACGTGACGCTGGAGGCTTTGATTCTCTCTCTTTACTTTGCTCCCCCTCCGCGACTCCCCCCTTTCCCTCCCAATGCCAAGAAATTACAGTGAGAGTGGCGACTCCTCCCCTACACGCCCCCCTCTAGCAAGGCATCCTGGGAGATGCAGTTCTCTCTTGACGCTGGGCGCGTCCCCATCGCGCTCCCCATTCCTGTGCTGCTGAGCATTGGGCAGGGTTACTTGTGGAAGCAGAAGTCACTTAAGTGAAACATGCTTCAATTTACCCATCTGTCAAATGGGAGGAAACAGTCAAGCGCATTCAAACAGGATTGAAGGGCCCGCTGAGATCTGAAGTAAAAGTGCTACACTGACCTGAGATTTTTCTCCAGTGCATTTTGTACTGACTCCGGGTCTAGGTTGACCACTTTGTGACAAACTGCGACACAAGAAACCAAGGACTGGTTACCCTGTTCCTAGGATCTCTGGCGCACAGCCAACCTTTCCTTACTCCTTCCAGATTGTTGCTGAGCCTATGAACGTGTATAGCACCTGTTCTCTGTCTGGCAACAAATCTAGTGCCTAGGGATCAGGTGACAAGTCAGGTAAGACACACCGGTGAGAGGGTCCGATGGAGGTAGCTGTGCTGATTCCGCAGAACCCCTGCAGGCAGGAGCATTGACACTTTGTTGCCTGTTAGTGGGTAGGACTGTATCTAACTTGGCGCCAGTGCACAGATGGATGGATGGATGGACGGACGGACGGACAGACGGACGGACGGACGGACGAGCACAGCATCATCCCCACCTTCCCTGACAAGGCACCTGGGGCTCTGAGAGCCCAAACAACTTGCACAAGTTGAACATCTGGGCTGTGTATGAGTGTAGATGAAAACCCCAAATTCTTCCCTACCCCAGGAGGATTCAACTGTCACCTTTCAGGTGCAGACAGTTTAGCATCTTGGGTTTCTGTTGGGTGGGGAGAGGGCCATGGAGCCCCCACCACCACCAGGAAGTCAGCCCTAACCCAACACAGAAAGCTGTTCCAGATTCAGCTGGGAGGTGCAGAGGGAGATTAGAGCACCTGCTTTCAAGCACCCTGGGGACAGTCGCCATACCTGCCCTCCTAGGAAATTGTTCCTTGGTGATCTGGGGCTCAACCCTACCCCAGCATTGCCACCTCCCCAGTCCCTCATCCCTAGCCCATCCCCAAAGGCCAAAAGCTATTCTTGTCTCTTTCTAAAGTACGCATTTGAAACCATGAGCCCGTTTTTTCCATTCCCGGGCTTGGGTATGGTCTATTTCGAGCATTTGTTGTTTTCCATGAGTTGCAAATGCCACTGTGAAGCAAGCCTTTCCTGGACAGCTAGTATAGGGGGTGGGGGGGGGTGGGGAGCAAAGCAGGGCCAACAGTTAAAAATACTCCCCCACTCCATTCCCCTTTGAAAACAAGGCCCCAGGGGGCATTTTGCAACCGCTGAGCCTGGGAACAGCAGAAACAGTGGAGAAGATGGGCTGCTTGTCCTGTTTTCTGAGCACACTGAACAGCTTTGAAGGTCTCAGATGAAGCACGGCTCTAACTTTCCTGTGTGACTTCCAGGCCTGAAAGCTCCGGGATGAGACCCGCCCCCAAGGTCAGGTCCCTAGAGGTGGACCAATTCGAGGTGTTAGAAGGCAGGCTTAGCCCAGCCTCTACCCAGGAGGGCTCTAAGAGATCTAGATTCTTTCAGCAAGACTTGGGGCCTTGGAGGGGGGCTATTGAGAGATCACATATAAGTCACAGATGCTAATGGAGAAGCGACCTGTGTTTTAACTGTAGATATCTCTATGACAAAAACACTCAGAATTGTATCAGCTAAAAACACACATTAAACCAAGGTATGTGCTTTCATAAGTACATGTACTTATGAAAATAAGTAGGAAATATTCTAAAAGACTATCCAATCTGATAAGGAGATTTGGATTTGGGGTAGAGCCAGAGAGGACTCAATGCTTTTTCTGGGAAGACAGGGTTTATTTTATGCATTACTGGTGTTTTGTTTTTCTTCTGGAGGCTGGCAGAGAGACAACCAAGACATGGAGGGGCTAGTGACAGCTCACACTGTCCTGGACTGGTATGCCATGGATGGTGGGTGTGTGCTGGGGGAGACGGGTACAAAAGGAAGCTTGAGCAACGGGGGTGCTTTATGCTTTTAGGAAAGCTAGTGGAGGTATCACTTCTCAGCAGGATTTATTAGCTGTTGTAGGTTACTTTCTGTTGCAAACAGTTGCCTCAGGAGACAATTAAATTTAGAGCATATTGTTCTCAGGTTGCCCCAGACAGGTGTTGACTTGCTGAGGCTTTGCACAAACAACCCTGTCTAAGAGTATGTTCTCCTGACTGGATGATAGGGTCCTTCTCTCCAGAGGTAGGACTAGCTGTGGTTCTGTAAGGAAGTGAGTGCCTCACTGATACAAGCATCCAATCCAGTAGACAAGCAGATGGCCTATACTGTGACACTGAAAGCAGTATCCAGATCTCTATACCTAGGCTGGCAGTGTGGCTGGTCCAATCAATCCTTACCAAATGGATACAAGTAGAACTAGAAGCCTGGGAAGTTTCCGGGTGGTATCTCTTGGTAGATAGCGTCACTGCCACTTCAAATCTCTTGGGGTGGAGTGTGGCTTGTAATCTTAGATGTGGGAGGTACTGTTGCAATGGTTGTTCTGGTGAGTATTCTGAGCAGTTAATAAATATTGACAACAATGTGTCTGTTACTAGCCCAGTGTTGTCTGCTCCAGGCTGAGCTTGCAGATCTGCCATTCCAGAGCTTACGGATAAGGGCCTGAGGGTCAGAGTCAACAAAGGCAGCCTGGTCCACTTGTTCAGTGTGAAGGGAGCACTGAGATGTTGGGAGTATGCCTGTGGAGCCCTCCTCATCTGTGCCCCTTTTTCCTCGGTTGAGCTCTAGTCCCACAATTGACCAGCCATGTGAGCTAATTAATCTCCCAGGCCTGTTTGGCTCTACAAAATGTGGACAACGATGGTGTGAAATGCACAGAGCTATATGAGTATTATAATTGATAAATAGAATTTGATTCTGGGGATACCAACTACATGCCAGGAACAGAGTTCAAGTCCAAGCTTTTCGGTTGCTGAGGTTTTCTGCTTTTAAGTCTCAAGTCCTAGCTTCATCTTCTATGACCCAGACAAGTCCGACTGACTGCTCTGTCTCCTCTTGTCCCCACTCACCATAAGCCTCTCCCTTCTCTCCCTCACTTCCTCTTTGCACTGTTCAGCTTGTGGCTGCCATTCAGTCTACTTGACAAATGTGGACATGGGCGCTGCGGGCGGGCCTAGGGCGTTGAGCCTGGGCCACGAACTTTCTAGATCGGACCCTAGTAGGATAACGGTTCTTACCTCTCTATACAAACGAAGCTGGATGGTATGGAATTGGCCTGGACCACTTGAGGTCAAAGTCAGAAGCACTTTGTTTGACTCCACCCAGTCTTTGGCACGCTGGGGAGAGCGGGTAGTTTTCTAAGACTCAAGGAAAACAAACAGACCCAGGGCGGTCATGATTCTTTAGTGTCCAGCATGAGCCCCTCGCTGACAAGTGGGCACACACTACAACTTCCAGACTTCCTCGGGCTCAAGGGGCGGAGCCAGCCCCGCCCTAGAAGATAAGATCCACCAATGGGAGCCCAGAGCGCGGTGGGGCGGGACCAGGGGCGGGACCGCGGGGTGGCGGCAGTCGAGCCGCAGCGCGAGTCAGTCGCGCCGAGAGCGCTGGGACGGGACGGCTCCGCTCGTCGAGGGTCTCCGGTCAGCGACGTGCGATCTCGCTGGGCCATGGGTAAGCGGCTGGCGGGCGGCGCCGGGGTCGGAGGGCTGGGGACCCGGAGCGATCGCGACCCGCGGGTCAACCCGGGTGTCTGTGTGCTCTCTTCTCGTGGAAAGCCGGGGCGGCCAGGGGCTTCCCAGGCGTTTATCTCGAAACTCTCCTCTCCGGCTCTGGACTGAAATTCACTGAGCCGCCCACACTTCCTGCTGCGGTTTCAATCTCAAGCTGCTCTGGGCCCATTTGTTGTGACAGCTGTCAGCAGCAGCTTCTCGGCCGCGGGCCCCTCCCTGCCCCTTGCCAGCCCAGCGCTTCTCAGAACCGGAGGCGCCCGGGCCGCGCGCCGCGCTTCCCACTGCGGCCGCGATTCCTGAAAGTGACTGCGCGGGTTTTGAAGAACTTGCTCAATGCGCTTTGAAGAATCCACGGTTCCTCTTTCTGCCGAGGGACTTGCTGATGGTTTGACGGCCACAGGCTTCAGGTCCTTCTCTTCCCCTTTCTTTTTGTTTCTCTCTTTCTCTTCCCAGCCCCTGGCAGGAAAGACGTCTTCTTTTTACTTGCCTGGTCTTCTGACTTACCCTCTCTTCCCCGGGTGGTGGCCCCGAACTGGGGGTGATTAGTGGAGAGAGGGCAGAAGGGCAGGCTGCCAGAGCGCAACGAACAAGTTTGGCTTTGCTCTCAACCTCGAGCGAGGGCCACAACCACGCCACCGCATCTGCGACCCTCCACTCTGCTCAGGCGTCATGCCCTGGCTGGGGTCACACCCCACGTCCTGGCCGCCCACAGGCTCAGTGGGGGTTGCCAAACCTGGGCCTGGAAGGCCTCAAATTCATCCCAAATTGTGCCGTTCCAGCCTGCATCGCCTTGTTCCAGAGGACGGGTCACAGCAGCCAAAGGAGGGTAACAGGTGCTCCTTGCCGCTCCCCGCGGTGGGCACTGTTGGGAACTGATGCGCATCTAAGGGTCTCGGTGCTTAAACAGGATGCCAGAGCAGGGGTGGGAGATGTTACCTTGAGAGTCTGGTTTGCACAGAAGTCACCGAGTCCAAACTGCTTGGCCTAGAACTTGAAGCGACAGAGGTGGAATGGGCCTTAGAATCAACCGCCCCAACTTCTCTTTTATTACATACAGTCAGAGAAACTGAGGCACAGAGACAGACTCAGGTCTGATAGTGAGTGAGGGCCAGACCTCCAAGCCTCCTTGCCCCTCACTCCTTCCTGGTGGCCCTCTGTTGCCCCAGGCGCGAAGCGTGCAGGGGTGAGGAGATGGGAAAGTGGTGAGGCAGGGGAGTGCCCCGTGTAGGGGTTCTACCTCTACTGTCGAGTCACCCCTCTCACCCCTGTTTCTCCATAGGCGCGGTGGGAAAACCGGAAATGATCCGTATACAGGGCTGTTTTCACCAAACATGTGGACAGAGGGGCGGGGCCGTGAGGGACTCAGTCCTCCCAGGAGTAGATCTCTCAGGCTGTTTCAGAGCTGGGTAGCACTGGGAGTCTGGACTCTCATACCTGGTGCCCATACATCGCTCTCTGCCTCGTCTCTCGCCACTAACAGAGCTTACTCTCCCTGCCTTGGCAGAGGTGCCAAGGCTAGGCTGTGGCTAGTGTTCTGGATCCTCAGACTCCTGTTCAGCTGTCCTCAAGGCTGGCCCTTGACAGGACCCCGCCCTCTCCCCCAAACTGCCCACTGGAGCAAGCCCAAGGAGGAGAATGCCAGGCAGCCGGCTTCTGGGCCACAGAGTGGACTAGCCCCTTCAAAGGCTGTCTTTGTTTCCTCTCCAGCTTGAGCTAATAGAAACTTAAGCCAACAACCTCAGGCAAGGGGGCGGGGCTGTGTCTGCCGGTTGTTATTGAGGTTGCTGTTGCCATTATTGTTGTAATTGACGTCGTGTTCCCAGTCAGTGAGTTTTCATGAAAGGAAGTGTCACTTCCTTCCCATCACACGGAGGGTGACTGGGGTAGGCAAATGAAAGAGAGAGAAGGAAAGTGGGTGCCCACGCCTAGCGAGCCCGTCGGCTCACAGGAGGTGTGCGGCCTTGAACACTCTGGGAGCACCAGCGTTCTCGGATCAAGGAGACTCATCCTGCAGACTTAGACCAGTCTTTCAGGACCCTAGGGAGAATCGGATACCTTGGGGACAGGCAGGTGTCAGCATGGGTGTGTGCACACTTTCGACTGTGGTTTGTAGGGGAAGCCTCACTTCTTGCTGTCTTCAAGCTTAGAATACTGGTCATTGAGTCTAGCACACCCATCTTACAGAGGCGAGGGGACAGAGCTACAGACGCAGTGAATGGAGGCGATAAAAAACGCACCCAGCATGGTGGAGCGTGCCTATAGTCCCAACACTGGGAAATCTGATCCGAGAACTGGAAGTCTGAGCCAGACCCAAGCATACAAATAGACAAGAGGCATCCATGTGGTACTCTCCTCCTCCTTCATCCTGCGTGGTTTCATCTGCTCTCAGCTCACTGGCTGGCCGGGCAGGGGGCAGGCGTGCAGGGGGCAGGAGTGCAGGGGCAGGCGTGCAGGGGGCAGGAGTGCAGGGACAGGCGTGCAGGGGCCTCTTGATTTCCCTCCACCTATCCCACAGCCTCGCCGACTCCTACAGGGTGTCCCTCACCACTTTACACAAAGCCATTGCCTACAGACAGCAGGCTCCTGCTTCTTCAGGGATTCTCGTAGAGTCCAGTGGTTTTCCTTCCTTAAAGATTACAAATGGCACCCTGTATTGCAATGATGGGGCTCCTGGGAGACTCTGAGGTCAGGCACATTGAGTCACACGGTGGAGCTTCTGCCCCTTCCTATTCTGGTTTGGTAGGCTCAGTAGTCCACAATGTGGGTAAGTTTCTACCCTCTGAGCTTAAATGAGAAAGCTGAAGGTCTCCCTTTTATTACAGAACTCTAGGTCTTAGGGTTCAGGGTCTTGGCGCAATCAGACTTCTGCAGTTTGGACTTAGCTTTGCCACTGGAAAACCGTGTGACCCTGAGGCAAGTCGTCCAACCTCTCTGAGCCTCAGGCATGACATCTGTTAAAAGGGGGGAAGATTCAGTAAGGCTTGCGTTAGATGCCCAACCCCAAGCAGCTTTGGTGGAGCCTCGTGCTCAAAGGGAAGCAGGGAGTGTCTTGGAAACACCGGCTTTGGCAAGCTTGCTCTGATTGGAGAGGCTGAAACGGGGCCCTTGGTACGGCAGCTTAGAGTCTAGCAGCCTCAGACACAGTTCTGGAATTGATCAGAAGTCAGTCAAATCCCAGGTGGGGCTGAAGTGGCCCTCCTGCTGCACCCTTCTCCGCCTATCTGATGCCTAGGAAGGGACACTGTCACACTCCGCTCACTTAGCCTCCCCTGGTCCTTGTATACACAGTGGAGCAAGGAGTCCCCAGGAGCTGTGAAGCCCTGTCATTCCAACCATAAAATCACTTTTGTGGCTACTTCCTAACTAATTTCGCTACTGTTATGAATAGTGTTGTAAATACCTAATATGAATGATATCTGATATTCGACCTCTGTGAAAGGCTTATCTGACCCCTAAAGGTTGAGAACCACTGCTTTCGAGCCTGTACCTACATCATCCTAAGTTTCAGATGGAGTGTTCTTCAAAGAGAAGTATCAAACACAGACTTGACCTCAGCACTCCACAGTGAAAGGAACAGAATAGAAAGTCTAGGAATGATCCCAGACTCGCTTCTGTCAAGTGTGAGGTTGTGGGGAAAGTCGAATTTCACTCACTACAGAGGTTGTCACTCACCAGCACTGACAAACGCCTGCCCAGTGGAGGGACACATGGGTAGACCCCAGCTCATACCCCACGCCCCACACCAGAGAGAGTTCGTATGTACACAAGGAAACGTCAACCCCCATTATCATTATTGTTTCGTGGGTAAAATGATATCGTGGAAAGCGGGGTGTCTTTTTAAAAGATTGGATCTCTTCTCTACTCACGAGTAGGACACTGAGGCGCTGGCCAGGAAGGATCTTCCACACAAGCTCTGAGGTAGACAAGGACTTGGTCCGCGGTAGCATCAGTCAAACGGGGAAAGGAGGGTTTCTCCTGTCTTATAGGCCGGGGTGGTCCTGTACCATCCCCTGCAGAGCCAGAGGTGGACCCGGCCTCCCACTCCACGCTTGGGCCTTGCATCAGGATGTTCAGGAGCCAGGTCGGGGCAGTGTCTAAATCTGTGGTTTCATAGCAGAATTTTCGCTACAAATGATTTACCTGGAACCCATATCTGTAAATGATTGGGGAACTGAGAGGTTAGGACGGCTAGGGACAGGACAAAGGGTACCCTGACCCCTCATTTAAGGCTGCAGAAGTCAGGGCCTAGAAGGTCCTGCCAGGAACAGATAGAGTGATAGTCCTGGCCAGGAGAGAATGGGCACCAAGTTCATTTGGGGACTCAGGACATAGTGATAAAGAAAGTATTTCCCTTTGTGGCTCAGGGTGGGAGCTCTGATCCCTTTTCCATTTGGGGCCAAACAGCTTGGATTGGCAACTTCTCTTCCAGGTAACCTGAGTGCCCTACTCCAGGAGATTTTCCCTGAGTGAGATTACAGATCCTGGAGCACCAGAGACCACCTGCCTGGTGACTGTTCACCGGCAGCCCCCTGGGGTCCCTGGGCACTTCAGTCTCTGATGAAGCCTCACTCGGGCCCAGAAGCATTAGTCTTTGAAGTGTTCTCAGGGATTGTCACAGTCTAACTATTAGTTTTTGAGACCCAGGGGCCATACCATGCTCTTTAGCAGCGAGGAGCCCAGGTCACACTAGGAATAGCTGGAGAGTCCCTGCTGTTACTGCCCAGGATCTGAGGAGCAGCTGGAAGGGAGACAGGAGTGTGCAGAGGCTTCAGGCTGGAGGAGGACTGGACTAAGACATATTTCTGGTTCTTAGACTTGAGATCCACCCAGAGGTGGCAAAAGACCTCCCCCCCCCACCGCCCCGAGCCCTGTCTCCCCAGTCACAGAAGAAAAGGCTGAGGTGGGGCGCTTCAGAGAGCATGGTAGAAAAGGGAGGGCACTTGTCACTTCCTGAGATTTCTGGAGACTGGCCATGGATCTGATGTCAATAGCTATCTAAGACAGTGCCCAAGTCTCTTTAGACTCCGGCAAGAGTTAGGATGAGCGTCTCTGTGAGCTTATTTGGACACTCCATGAGGACTTTGCCAATGGTGACAGTAATCACAGCAAGGCATCGAACCAATGGTCAGACAGACTTTGTCTTGAGTTCTGGTTCCCTAGGGACATGCTTAGCCTCATGACCTCTCTGGCTTCAGCTTCCCCCTCTTTAAAATGGGATTCCCTCCTGGGACTAAATGAGAGACTATGCCTGCAAAGCCAGGTACCCAGAGGCAGGGACGAGTACAATGTGGGCAAACATAGGCATGGATGGCTGCACTTGGGTGCACAACTGTGAAAGGGAGGGTCTTTCAGGATCTGAGCATCCTAAACCGGGTCCTCTGGGTCATGTGGCTGTGGGACCAGTGTCCTCAAGGAGATTGTTTTTGCCTGTGCTGATAAGGAAAAACCTCACAGCTTCCTGCAACAATGGCTCTCTGAGCTGGAGCAAACCAAGAGTTGGTTCCATTGTACTAGGCTAGCAGAAAGAAAAGGGAAAGTTGTCAGACTGGGTGCCCTGGCTCGTGCCTGTAATCACTTTGCAGACAGAGGTAGAAGCTGAAGGCCTACATCTGGGCTACATTGCGAGACTATTTCAAAACCCAAGGGAAGTGCTTGGTGGGGTGGAAGGTAAGGATAAAACATAGTGAGGGAGCTGGAGAGATGGCTCAGAGGTTAAGAGCACTGGCTGCTCTTCCAGAGGTCCTGAGTTCAATTCCAAGCAACCACAAGTTCGGGATGCAGAGGCAGGAGGATTCCTGCGATGTGTAGCCAGCTAGGGCTACACAGCGAGACACTGTCTGAATAAATAAATAAATTCATTCATAAAAAGATTTGGTTTCAAATCTGATACCAGCCTGCTTCATCACCTGAGGCAATTGGAGTTGACTTTTTTTGCAGTGGCCAACTTAGGACACTTTTATAACCTCCTGCCCAGGCCAGCGCGTCACTAAACAGTAGTGCGTGCGTGTGTGGCTTCTCTCAGGCCATCCTCACAAGTCCTGAGCCTTCCCCATTCTCATTTCCCTGGCACATGTCTTGAGTGGGGCCAGAAGACTTGCAAGGCCTGGGCAGCCGCAGTTCAGTCTACTGGACACAAGCACTCCAGGGAAGGACTGGAGTGCTGGAGTTAGCTGGGCTGGGAAAGGCTAACCAGAGGAAGGGGTTAGAGCTGATTTGCACAGTCAAGGGCCTTGCAAGTGAGGGCAGCTTGGAGCCTAATAGCCTGCACAGGGACAATTGGCAGTGGTGGTTGGGGGTGGGGGACTCATAGATGAAGACTTGATAGCATTCAGCTGAGCTCTGTAATGCTTTGTGCCTGAACCTGGGCAGGTTTGAGAGAATGTCTCCAAATCACTGGATCCTGGACAAGAATGACGAGGCTGAGGGTTCCCTGCAGAGATGTAGGGGTGTGGCTAGAATAGAGGAAAGAAGAGGGGGTGGCTCCTGGCCAGGGTGAGTGAGTGTGCGTGTGTGCGCACGTGTGCGCGAGCGTGTGTGTGTGTGTGTGTGTGTGCGTGCGTGTGCGTGTGTGTGTGTGTGTGTGTGTGTGTGTGTGTGTGTGTGTGTGTGATTTAGAGGAACGACTCGGGTGTCATGGCCATGACTGGCCAGTAGAGGGCACTCTGGAAGGACTATGAGCACTCACCCCTTCCTTGGCTAAAGTGGGGAGCTTTCCTCAGCTGCCCTGCCCCTTCCCCACCTTCCTCTCCTCATCTCACCTGCCCTCTCCTCATTCATTCCTCTCTCCCAGCAGCACCTCCTGCCAAAGGAAAAAGGGAGCAGTCAGAAGAGGGTGACCTCCTAGAGCTCCCTGTGTCTCCCAAGCCCAATGGTGAGCAGAGCAGGAGCCAGAGCCCCATCCAGGTTGAGGTGAGTTAGACAAAACCTCTTCGATACTGGACTCAGGCCTCCACCTCAAGCTGCAGAGCTGCTAGGGGCCCCACACTGTAAGATGCAGGATCTGGGTGCTAGGCAAGGCGGGACCTCACCCAGCTTTACAGCAGAACTCCCTGCAAATCAAACAACCTGGACTCTGATCACAAAGCAGACAAACACAAGTCTGCAGTGTTCAAAAGATATTCCCAAACCAGATGGCGGCGGCGCACGCCTTTAATCCCAGGACTCAGGAGGCAGAGGCAGGCGGATCTCTGTGAGTTTGAGGCCAGCTTGGTCTACAGAGTGAGTTCCAGGACAGCCAGGACTACACAGAGAAATCCTCTCTTGAAAAAATAAAAAAAGATATTCCCAGCTGTCCATCAAGCTGACAGCAGGAAGCTGCAAGGCTATTGGCTCAAAGAGGCAGGGTCGCTGGCACCAGTAATCCCCAAGTGCCTTTTACTGTAGGGTTCCAGGGACACTGAGCCTGCCATCCAGGACCTAAGACGATAAAACAGATCAGAGCACGTTATAACTGACCTGGAGGACTCAGGGCTGTCCCTGTGGCCACTTCCAGGCCTTGGCTGTCAGGACCCTGGGGCTCTAGATTCCAGCCCTTGACCTGCGCCTGGGCACTAGGCTCACAGTTGTACTTGTGTGACCCAGAGCAGGAGGCCGGGTGCTCCCGGGTAACCTACGGTTGGGATCTAGGCACTTATTCCTTGGCACAGCAGTAGTTTCCAGTGCCTAGCTGGCCATCAGTGGGGCCCATCCATGCCTCCTGCTCTCTCCCCAGGACTCTCCAGAGGCAGGCGAGGAGCGGGAGGAGGAACAGGCTTTCCTGGTCAGCCTCTACAAGTTCATGAAGGAGCGACACACACCCATTGAGAGGGTGCCCCATCTTGGCTTCAAGCAGAGTGCGTTCTGGTGGGAGGGGTACAGGGAGGTGGGTTTAGGGAGGCAGCCAGGGGAATCTTCCCAGGCAGGACAATAGGCAAGGCATCTCTGCTCCAGGTAACCCTGAATGTCACCAGTCTACAGGAGCTGCCTATGAGAAGGAGGCCTCTCTGAAGGCAAGGGGTGGAGTTGGGTTCCCATCCTCTTGACCATCAGGCCAACCTGCCCTGTCCATAACAGTGGTCCCATCCAGGAGTGTGCGGGTTGCAGAGCCTGACAACCTATCTTGCCTCTTTCCTTCAGTTAATCTGTGGAAGATCTACAAGGCAGTGGAGAAGCTGGGGGCCTATGAGCTGGTAAGCAAGGGCTCCAGCCTCACCACACCCTGACAGGAGCTAGGGTGGTCAGGAGGGCTTTCTGGCCTGCAGACTTGAGGAAGATCAGAGTCCCCAGGTCCAGCCTGCATGCCGTGGGAGGGGGGACAGGGTACTTTGCATCTCTAAACGGTTTCTTCCCACCTACGTCTGTTCCACCCTCTCCCTACTCCAAAACCTGCTTTGTCGGCCCTGGGAGGGAGAGCGGGTGGGCACCAGCAACCTTCTCCAGCATCCTGCCCATAGCTGGAGAAGGAGCCCCAAAGTCCAGCTCCCACCCCCTCCCTGCAAGGGGAACGTGAAGCTAACGGGGTTCCATGGCCAGAGGGTACCCATGGGCCCATCTCCTCTGGTGTCTTGCAGGTGACGGGGCGCCGACTCTGGAAGAACGTGTATGATGAACTGGGGGGCAGTCCAGGCAGCACCAGCGCAGCCACGTGTACACGCCGCCACTACGAGAGGTATGGGGCACCCACAGGGTGCTGCACACCTGGGCCTTCCCGTTCCGGGGCCGTGGCTGGGAGTGAGGTGCAAAGGCAGAAGACAAGTGTGCTATTTATGTGTTGGGGGTAGCGGGCAGAGCATATGTGCCGCAAGCCATGTCCTTGTCAGGGCTGGGCTGGGCAGTGAGGCGGGGAAGAGTTGTAGTGTGCCGTGTGCAGGAAGGAGCAGACAGCTTTGGGGACAGCAGGAGCTCTGCTGGAGAGGAGCCCGGGGGGCTTAAAGGAAGCCCAGCTGTGAAGAGCAGCTGCTGGGCTTCCGGTGGACACACTGGCTCTTCCCCAGGCTGGTCCTCCCGTATGTGCGGCACCTGAAGGGGGAGGATGACAAACCGCTGCCCCCCGCCAAGCCCAGGAAGCAATACAAGATGACCAAGGAGCTGAGGGGGGAGGATGGGACCACTGAGAAGTCAAAGAAGGCCAAGGACTTGGAGAGGCAAGTGGACCAGGTAAGCACTGAGCATAGTGAGGCTGCTTTCACAGCCCCCGTGCCCACTCTGGCCTTGGCTGTTGTTTCCAGCTTGGAATGCCAGGAACCTGCTGCCAGGGCAGGAGCTGGCTGAACTTGGGCTTGAAAGGGCCTTCTGCCTCCAGGTCTCCAGGTCAGATAGATGCACAGTCCTGCAGCCAACCCTAAAACAAAGCCTTTTCTTATTCCAGACCGCACCAGGAAAGCCCAAATTGGATGCCACTGACCTGACACAGCTTCCCAGCCAGGCACGCACAAGGAATAGCACCGAACAGCTAGGCCCAACATCGGGGCCCTCTTTGCCATTCATGGGTGCTAGTGGCTGTCCTGAGGCCTACAAACGGCTCTTGTCCAGCTTTTACTGCAAGGGGGCGCATGGCATAATGTCACCACTGGCCAAAAAGAAACTCCTGGCCCAGGTCAGCAAGGCAGAGGCCTTGCAGTGCCAAGAAGAGGGCTGTCGCCATGGAGCAAGGAGCCCCAGCAAGGACCTTCAAGAAAGTCCCCAGAACCTAAGAGGACCGGCTGAGAACTCTGAACACCAGCTAACCACCCAGGAAGCACTGCAGGTCCCTGGTGGCAGCACCAAGGTGGAGGTGCAGGAGGGCCCCTGCCCCACAGCCTCCACTTTCTCAGGTTGTTTCCATGCCTACCCCACCGAGGTGCTGAAGCCTGTCAGCCAGCACCCCAGGGACTTCTTCTCTGGCCTTAAAGACAGGGTGTTGTTGGGACCGCCTGATAAAGGGGAAGGGCTGTCCGCCAAAGAGCCCCAGCTGCTGTGGGGTGGGGATGCCAGCCGCCCCTCTGCATTCCATAAAGGCAGCTCCAGAAAAAGAAGTTTCTATCCCAAGCCCAAAGCCTGCTGGGTATCCCCCATGGCCAAGGTCCCTGCTGAGATCCCTGGAGCCACGCCATCCCTCCAAAGCAGCCCAGGCCTTGGCAACAAGCGCAACTTGGAAGAAGAGGGCTTCACTCATGGTGGCAAGAAACTGAGGGCAGTGTCTCCCTTTATGAAGGAGGTGGATACCAAGGAGTGTGGGGACAAGCCTGCAGCGCCTGGTATGGCTGTATCCTGTCTACTGGGCCCAGCCCTGGGGCCCACTCCTCCCGAGGCCTACAGGGGCACCATGCTGCGGTGTCCTCTGAACTTCACCAGTAGTAGCCCAGATCCTCTGAAGGGCCAGACCACACTCCCCTTCAGTCCCCTGGTCATCCCAGCTTTCCCAGCCCATCTTCTGGCTACAACAGGCCCCTCACCCATGGCTACCAGCATAATGCATTTCCCTCCCACGTCCTATGACACTGTCCTCCGCAATAGACTGGGTCCAGCCTCATCTGCCTGGCACATGCCACCCGTCACAACCTATGCAGCACCCCATTTCTTCCACCTCAACACCAAACTGTAGGTTAGAGCACCCACGTGCCGTGCTAGGAGGATTTGATGGGGTCTCAAAAGGGCGGGTGCTGCCAGGAACCTCAGGCCAGAGCCCACTGCTTAGAACTCCCAGGCCAGTTATCCTTCCCATGTCTGTGTGCCCCACCCCCACCCCGGCACAGATGGGGAGGCAGTAGGCTTGTCTCAGTGAATCAGCTTGAGCCCAACGACCAAGTTGTGGTAAAATCACAAAAGTACCGGAGCTAGTATTCTCTCTCCTCGGAGGTCAGGAGGACTGAACGGCTAAGGAGCTAGACAGTAGCTCAAGGCATCCAGGTTGGCCATGAAAGTTCCAATAAAAAGACACTGGTGCGATTGCACTCAGTCCTGAGGTATGCAGCGTTGGACTTTTGCAAGGGGAGGTAAGGCGGGAACAAGCTTGTGGATGTGGTCACCAGTGTGGGAGAAAGATGAAATGATGCCATCCTGATCTGGATGCTACCACCCCACTGGAGGGCAGGCCCAGAGCAAAACTCGGCTTCTTATGCACAGGTAAACAAACAGTCATGCTTCCTTTTGCTCCAGCCTCGGGACACCTGCCTGGTGAGGTTGTCACGGTGTAAAGCCCCGAGCACACTGGTGACTTGTGAGACATGAGGGAGGGGCTGTGTGATTCCAACCCTCCGAGCTGAGCCACAGACCCCCGCCCAGGATGCATCGGCCATGCATCTTTGAGCCAGCAACTAGGAAGGGAGTTGCTTGCTTGAAGAGGTTCTTGCTGTGTTGCTCAGGTTAGTCTCAGACTCCTGGCCTAAAGAAATCCTGCCATGACCTCCTCAGTAACTGGGACAGCAGCTGTAAACCGCGGTACCTGTGAAAGGGGACTTCTGAGGGTGCTAACACAAACCCCAAGTTACTGTCCTAGTAGTGGGTAGACCTGTGAACACTGCTGCCTCCTGCTCTCACTGCACCGGCTTTCCTGCTATACATACTGGATCTGGAGTGAGGGGCAGAGAGGACCATCTCTGCCCGGGAATCTGTTGCCAAGCCACAGTAAGTTTCAGCTGTGCTGACTCCATGGGCCTACACAGAAACCCTATGACTTAGCACTCTCCTCCCTTAGAGATGGCTTAATCTGCCAGTCCCAAGGAGACTGTCAGTACAGCTTCTCAACTGTTCCTGGGAAGGCAGAGCCATCATGGCCCAGAGATGCCAGGATGCCTGTGAACCAGGTCAGCAGATGCTTACTGACCTACATCATGGGAACTCACCCTGTTCCTGACCTCAGGTCATGGGTAGGAGGGCAGGCTTTCATGGCCCCCTTAGTTCACAGGTGACATGGCTAAGAGACAGGAAGTGTCGTTGAGGGTGCCTGGCTTTGGGAAATGGGTGATCAGGGAAGGTAGCGGCCTGTCGGGGGGAGAGCTGTAGCTCCGGTGTCCTCCAGGACCAGGTAGCCAGAAAGAGGGCGGGTGTCCACTGATGCACTCAAGCATCCTCCAGCTCCTCACCCTCCCAGAGACACTGAGATGCTGGCCCGTGTGTCCGGATGACCAGCCCTGAGCTCCTGGCTGCCCTACTGCGTCCATGAGCTGTCCCCATCTGTGAGCTTGTCCATCCCAGTAAGGAGGGACTCTCGGCTAGCAAATGCCCTGGGTCAGAACATTGTTGGTCAGATCCCAGGATAGATAGATGGAGGCTACTTTTGTATATGGAGGGATCCCCTTTGTCTACAAAGTAACACTAGTCTCAACCTGCTCAAGGGTGGTGTTTGGCAGACAGCCTGACTTGAGTGTAGATTGTCCAGGACCGCAGGGGTGGGACCCTCTGGAGAATGCACATATTGTGGGGTATCGGAGTGGATGGATTATTCTTAGGCCAAACTCTGTGACCTCCGCTTATGCAAAGACACTAGACATGAATGTAAGTCGGGCATCTTGGAAAGCCTTGGGACTCTGCACGGAACACCCGTGTGTTTGCCTCACATGAAAATTCTCAATCCTTCCCACTGAGAGAGAACTGAGCTCTGAGATGACTCCAAACACCGAGCTGGCTGACGGGGCGGGGGGGCGTGCTGCACACATCTTCCAGTTCATTCTTGTCCCTGACAGGCTGCCTCAGAGGACCCTCGGGCCAGCATGGCTCTCAGTGTCTGTTGGGTGCATCATTTGGGCTCAGGGTCTACTTTAAAATCATTCGTGACATCTGAGCTGCTAACAGTGGAGGAGGCATTGACCACCCTGGAATTCGGGCTGATCCCGCCCCTACCTGTGATCCAGTTCCTTTCCCTTGTGTGATGAGTTAGGCATTCAGCAGGCAATGCCTTTGTTTGCTTTGGGGTTCAGGCATGCTGCCCCTGTAACTGTCTTGGGTGTTCAGCTCGGTGGCATTAGATGTCTATTTTTTTTTTGGTTTTTTTTTTTTTTTTTTTGGTTTTTCGAGACAGGGTTTCTCTGTGGCTTTGGAGGCTGTCCTGGAACTTGCTTGGCAGTCCAGGCTGGTCTCGAACTCACAGAGATCCGCCTGCCTCTGCCTCCCGAGTACTGGGATTAAAGGTGTGTGCCACCAACGCCCGGCTCACCACTATAGTTTTAAACAGAGCGGCCTAGAGTATTCTCTAGGAGAGTCCTTGAGAATGGCTAGAGGAGGTGATGGAAATTCAGAGCAATAAGTCTTCAAGGGATCCAGGAGCCAGGGGGTCTGTGGGGTTGGGACAGAGGGAGCCAGAGGTGACTCAGGCTGAGTTTGGCACAGTTGGGCTTTTATGTGAAATAAAAGAAAGATGGGAGAACATCCTGGCTTCCAGAGTTTGCTGTTTGCTTTCCGGTGCTGGGGAAAGGACCCGGGGCCATTATCTGTGCTCAGCAAGCACTGAGTCTTGTAGACAGAAGTTTCTGTCCTGCCTGGTCCTGCAGACATTCAGTTCCAAATAAACACACAGAGGCTTATATTAATTATAAACTGTTTGGCTGCTGGCTCAGGCTTCTTATTGACTAGCTCTCTCTTAATTATTAACCCATTTCTATTAATCTGTGTTTCTCCACATGGTCTTAGCTTACCGGTGATACCCAAGCCTCATGCTTTCTCAGTAGCTATATGGCGTTCCACTGGTGACTCACCCTCTCAGTCCTCTTCCCAGAATTCTCCTAGTCTGGTAGCCCTGCCTGTACTTCCTGCCTGGCTACATCCTGCCTGTCCATTGGCCAAAACAGCTCTATTCATACATTCACAGCCTACAGAAGGGCCCCCCCCATTAGACCCCTGAGCTGCATCCCAGCCCCAGCCGGGGGCAGATGGTGGGCAGACCTGGATGCTCTGGAGACCAGAACGGAGCAGGGAGCCCATCGTTGGAGATGGAGGAGACAGCATGCGGACACAGGTCTGCGGATGTTGTAGACATGTCGGGCCAGGGTTGCTGTTTGTACTGTGAGCAGAGTGAGGGTGGGTGGGGGCTGGGCTTGGAGAAGGACGAGTGAGCGATCTCATAGAATGGAGCAAAGCTGTCCAAGGGCAGGGCTAAGGCATCTGAGAAGCTCCAATTTCCACTTGCGGTTAGTGGCATGAGTGTCATTGCACCCAGGAGGCCAGCTGGATGCAGTCTTAGAGCAAAGGACAGTTAAGCCCCACTCCAGTAGAGCTGAGGTGACTGCAGGGAAGGACATCGATATGGGACCAGAGAGTGAAGCAAGGGGTGTGGGGGCCGGCTGGGAACAGGTGGTGAGACCTCCAGACTTTAGGTCCTGGTGAGCTGTGGACACTCAAGAGGGGCTGAGCTGAGGCGTTGCCTGATGAGCTAGAGCAGGAAGGAGCTGTCAGAACTCCGGCATGGGAACTCTGAAACACCACAAATGAGGGCAGCGGGCATGCCGGGTGAGCACAGCAGACAGGGTGAATCGAGCAGGCACAGGCAGGAGGAAGATGGGGTCTGAGCTAAAACACAGTACAGGGTTGGCTCTCACATGAAGTTGCTGGCAGAGTGGACATTAGGGAAAGCCAGAGGCCAGGGAGAAACTTCCATGCCTTTAATGGGACTTAAATCAAGAACAGAGGCTGCCTGAGAGGTTTTGATGTGTTTGTTTTCCAGTGTGGTGGATGGGACCCAGAGCCTTGTGTGTGCTAGGCAAGTGCTCTACCACTGAGCTACATTCCCCAGCCGTTTGGTGTTTAAAAACAATAACACTAGCGGCATTTAAAACATTATGGAGTTTCTCTTGAGTAGCCAGCCTTTCTGGCCACACAGGATGCCTTTCTGAATCAAGACGGGGAGCAACACCCATCTATCTACCATAGACCTTCAGCTCCTGTGTTCAACCCTGAGGTGAGCCAGTCCTAGCCAACTGCCTGGATTCCCACCACTCAGTTGGAGGTGTGACACTGTTCAGACACTAGGTGGCAGCAGCTGTTCTTCATGGTTATAGGATCAAGACCAATTTTCTTAGCTGATGACTCCAAGAATGGTTCTGCTCAACTCTTCAAAGGGTCTCTGGGCAGAACTGCAGAGCAATCGCTGGTCTGGCAGGGCCAGTGATCTGGACAAATGTGTACACAAGCTCCCAAGACGTGTTTCACTCACTGGACCTTGCCTGCACACCCATGTGATTCTGCACACCCATGTGATGGTGGCAGCTCTCTGTGCATTCTCTGACCCAAACTGTGATGCAGAATGGAATCTAAGCCACTGATAAACAGAGATGACTACTGAACAGAATGCCCAGCCTACCCAGGGCAGCCCAAGGCTCTTGTGGGCAGCTGCTACTCCTGGAAGCCACCGTCTGCCTAACCCTGGCTGTGGGGCTCCCCCAGGGAGAAAGGGTGCCTGCATACTACATTGAGAGCAGGAAAAGGGGGCTAACAGTTGGGGGGGTTGAAATCCTACCACTCTGCTTTTTGGCTTCATTCTTGGGCCTTGGGGTGGAGAGGAAAAACCAAGAAGCTGGAAGCCAGATAGATTCTGACCTGCACTCTTCCACAGCCAGTGACATTCTTGGGCTCTTCCCTTGCAAGCAATGGAAATGAGGGCCAATCAGGCAAGAGAGCTAGCTCCTGAGTGGCTGGCGAAGCATGATGGAGAGCTGAACACCAGGCCATGACGGAGGACTAAACGTGGATCCTGTATTAGTGGCTGTTCTCACCACTGTGACCAAATAACCTTCAGAACTAACTTGGAGGAGGGGAGATTTCTTCTGTTAACCTTTTTGGGGGCTTTATTTATCCCTTGGTCACTGGACTCGTATGCCTGAGTAGGACATCATGGAAGGGGGAAAAGTCTTTATCTTATGGCAGACAAGAGGGAGGGAGGGAGGGGGGAGGGAGGGAGGGAGATCACTCAAACCAAGTATAACCTCCAAAAACATGTCCCAATGAACTTTCCCCTTCAACTCTGTCCCAGTT